ACTTTAATGCCAAGAAAAAAATATCTGTAATAATAGCCCCCCCGATTTTTACACCGTGATAACCATTATTTGATGTCTTCCCAGTTGTATTAGTAGCCAAGAAAATAAGTATTTTCTGGAGAGAAGTGTTTTTTCTTGTCATGTTTCAAAGCAGCTACATCTCTAGTATCTCTTTAATATGTGGTGTATCTCTGTACTTGATGTTAAATTCTGTGGAATATTTGTTACTCTACCAACATATTGACAACACCATTTTTTTATTTGTTTGTCTGCATTATTTATTGACCAGTTCAATAGTGAGCAATTCCTGTAATTTCAACAAAATGTTGTTATTTTTCCATAAGTAAAACCATTGCTTATTCTGATTTAATTAGAGTAGCAACCTAACTAATGCAATTCAATTGCATCTAAAAGTTAAATAGCATGAGTTTGTATCAAACAAAGTTGAAACACTCACCATCTGTTCTCAGGAGATTTATGCACATGAGTGTGACTCGAGTTTACTCTTTCAAAGTCATTTTTTCACTGTCCTGAACTGTTGTATGTGTGACCTTTTGTGTGTGGTGTCACAAGTGTTGAATAGATTGCACTTGAGTTGCTGCTGCTGTTAAGGAAAGCAACAGCTGCTGTTGTACTAGTAAGTTACTGTAGGTCTAACAGTGGCGGATATTTACATCTTCACCTTAACCTAAACACAAATGTGCACATATTCTTTTCATTTTTCAAACATTTTGAATTATTTTTAAGTAAGCTATTTATAACTGATTGTTATTTATGTGTATGTTTAAAAAGCATCATTATACCGATTCACTGTATACCCGTAATCTCTTGTTTCAGAGTACATGTTAATCATGTAAATTAGGGATGTTCATTTTAACCGGTTAACCGACCGTAAGAATTTTGACAGATTAATACAATCAGTTAAACGGTTTAAAAAGTAATTTAATCATTTATTTTTTCAGGAATTTATCAAAATATTTAAAAAGGATTGCTGCATGGTTAAAATACGCTACACGTATAAAAAAAATAGTTTTTAGGGGGAAAAAACATAAGTCACGTATAAGTCGCATTCTATGGTTTCATTCAGAAATAGGCCTAATGACGACGCGAAATGTTTACAAACATTATAATAAACACTGTAAACATAGCTAGGCTATTTTAGTTCCCCCCACTCCATAACAAATCCTTTCAATTAACAGTATTTAGAAAAGAACAAGAATTAAAAATATAAGAAGCTATATATACAGTGGGGCAAAAAAGTATTTAGTCAGCCACCAATTGTGCAAGTTCTCCCACTTAAAAAGATGAGAGAGGCCTGTAATTTTCATCATAGGTATACCTCAACTATGAGAGACAAATTGAGAAAAAAAATCCAGAAAATCACATTGTAGGATTTTTAAAGAATTAATTGGTAAATTCCTCAGTAAAATAAGTATTTGGTCACCTACAAACAAGCAAGATTTCTGGCTCTCACAGACCTGTAACTTCTTCTTTAAGAGGCTCCTCTGTCCTCCACTCGTTACCTGTATTAATGGCATCTGTTTGAACTCGTTATCAGTATAAAAGACACCTGTCCACAACCTCAAACAGTCACACTCCAAAAACTCCACCATGGCAAAGACCAAAGAGCTGTCAAAGGACACCAGAAACAAAACTGTAGACCTGCACCAGGCTGGGAAGACTGAATCTGCAATAGGAAAGCAGCTTGGTGTGAAGAAATCAACCGTGGGAGCAATTATTAGAAAATGGAAGACATACAAAACCACTGATAATCTCCCTCGATCTGGAGCTCCACGCAAGATCTCACCCCGTGGGGTCAAAATGATCACAAGAACTGTGAGCAAAAATCCCAGAACCACACGGGGGGACCTAGTGAATGACCTGCAGAGAGCTGGGACCAAAGTAACAAAGGCTACCATCAGTAACACACTGCACCGCCAGGGACTCAAATCCTGCAGTGACAGACGTGTCCCCCTGCTTAAGCCAGTACATGTCCAGGCCCGTCTGAAGTTTGCTAGAGAGCATTTGGATGATCCAGAAGAGGATTGGGAGAATGTCATATGGTCAGATGAAACCAAAATAGAACTTTTTGGTAAAAACTCAACTTGAGGAGAAAGAATGCTGAGTTGCATCCAAAGAACACCATACCTACTGTGAAGCATGGGGGTGCAAACATCATGCTTTGGGGCTGTTTTTCTGCAAAGGGACCAGAACGACTGATCCGTGTAAACGAAAGAATGAATGGGGCCATGTATCATGAGATTTTGAGTGAAAACCTCCTTCCATCAGCAAGGGCACTTTTTAATAAGGCAACAACATATGATAGATACGATAGGACAAAACAAATACAGTGCAGCACGAACTGTTTTTATACAGTCAACCCTCAACGGTTTTATACAGTGGGGCAAAAAAGTATTTAGTCAGCCACCAATTGTGCAAGTTCTCCCACTTAAAAGGATGAGAGAGGCCTGTAATTTTCATCATAGGTATACCTTAACTATGAGAGACAAAATGAGAAAAGAAAATCCAGAAAATCACATTGTAGGATTTTTAAAGAATTAATTGGTAAATTCCTCTGTAAAATAAGTATTTGGTCACCTACAAACAAGCAAGATTTCTGGCTCTCACAGACCTGTAACTTCTTCTTTAAGAGGCTCCTCTGTCCTCCACTGGTTACCTGTATTAATGGCATCTGTTTGAACTTGTTATCAGTATAAAAGACATCTGTCCACAACCTCAAACAGTCACACTCCAAACTCCACCATGGCCAAGACCAAAGAGCTGTCAAAGGACACCAGAAACAAAATTGTAGACCTGCACCAGGCTGGGAAGACTGAATCTGCAATAGGTTAGCAGCTTGGTGTGAAGAAATCAACTGTGGGAGCAATTATTAGAAAATGGAAGACATACAAGATCACTGATAATCTCCCTCGATCTGGGGCTCCATGCAAGATCTCACCCCGTGGGGTCAAAATTATCACAAGAACTGTGAGCAAAAATCCCAGAACCACACGGGGGGACCTAGTGAATGACCTGCAGAGAGCTGGGACCAAAGTAACAAAGGCTACCATCAGTAACACACTGCGCTGCCAGGGACTCAAATCCTGCAGTGCCAGACGTGTCCCCCTGCTTAAGCCAGTACATGTCCAGGCCCGTCTGAAGTTTGCTAGAGAGCATTTGGATGATCCAGAAGAGGATTGGGAGAATGTCATATGGTCAGATGAAACCAAAATATAACTTTTTGGTAAAAACTCAACTTGTCGTGTTTGGAGGAGAAAGAATGCTGAGTTGCATCCAAAGAACACCATACCTACTGTGAAGCATGGGGGTGGAAACATCATGCTTTGGGGCTGTTTTTCTGCAAAGGGACCAGGACGACTGATCCGTGTAAACGAAAGAATTAATGGGGCCATGTATCGTGAGATTTTGAGTGAAAACCTCCTTCCATCAGCAGGGGCATTGAAGATGAAATGTGGCTGGGTCTTTCAGCATGACAATGATCCCAAACACACTGCCCGGGCAACGAAGGAGTGGCTTCGTAAGAAGCATTTCTAGGTCCTGGAGTGGCCTAGCCAGTCTCCAGATCTCAACCCCATAGAAAATCTTTGGAGGGAGTTGGAAATCTGTGTTGCCCAGCGACAGCCCCAAAACATTACTGCTCTAGAGGAGATCTGCATGGAGGAATGGGCCAAAATACCAGCAACAGTGTGTGAAAACCTTGTGAAGACTTACAGAAAACGTTTGACCTCTGTCATTGCCAACAAAGGGTATATAACAAAGTATTGAGATGAAATTTTGTTATTGACCAAATACTTATTTTCCACTATAATTTGCAAATAAATTCTTTAAAAATCCTACAATGTGATTTTCTGGATTTTATTTTTCTCATTTTGTCTCTCATAGTTGAGGTATACCTATGATGAAAATTACAGGCCTCTCTCATCTTTTTAAGTGGGAGAACTTGCACAATTGGTGGCTGACTAAATACTTTTTTCCCCCACTGTATAAGCGACAAGCCAAAACGAATTCATTTAGGCTAAAACGAAACTGAAACCAACGTTGGGTCTCTCATTCCACACAAAATCAAATGTTTTCGTATTCGCAATGTATTTGAATGACAAATTATTATTTATTATGTAGCCTAGGATTCACTCGCGTTCCAATATCCACGTAAAACAAAATGTTTTGCATAACATCACGGTGGTATGGTGATAACACTTAACGGCACAGATTTTACTACATATTTGTTACTACATAGTTTTTTTTCCATATGTTTGACTGGCTGTATTTTATCATGATAATGAACAGGCTGCATTGTCGAGGTAGCAAAGCTTAACTGTGTGCGCATGCGGCGCCGGCGCAATCACTTGAGTTTTTTCCATCTAACAGTGGAAGCAACTACTCCTTTTAGTCCTAAAGATAATCGGAATTGTAAAAGGTTTGCCTTTATTTGTGTACATTCACAATAAAAACAAATCTTTGTGCTTTTGTAAAATAAGCCTAAAGAAAAATAGGATGCTGTTTTCTGTCGTCTGGTTTCCTTTCACGCAGCACAAAAATGAACTGAAACTCTGCATTCTTGGCTACTTGTTGCACAGTTTTTCTTTCATTTTCTTAGCCTATTTTTACTTAAATAATAAATTATGTTTCTCGTTTAGGCCTATTTATTCGATATATACAGTATATAGCCTAGCTTTATTATGTTTTTCTCCTCTGGCAGAAGCGCTGCAGGTGCGTGATGTGATATGATATGACCATGTGAATCCTCTTGTTCTGTTGTTTGCTGCTTTTATCCCCGGAAAACAAATGTTAGTATTTTTTTAACGGGTCACAGACACTTATCCTTTCTAATTTAAAATAATCTTGTCGGTTTACGGTTAACAATCGCTTAACGAGCGTCAGTTGTCGGTTAGGAAAAATAACCGAAATGAACATCCTTAATGTAAATGTTCTCCAAGTCAGTTTCTTATGTCTATCTTTTTGTTGTCACCTTTTTTCAGCGGCCCGGTATGCCATCAGGAGCACGAATGCCTCATCAGGGGGCCCCAATGGGGCCTCCAGGACCACCATTTGGAGGAAGTCCTGCTGTCCGGCCCGGACTCACCAATCAAGCCATGGAAGCCAGTCGTAAACGGCCCGCTCCTTCACAGCAGCAGATTCAACAGCAGCAGTCTGTACAGAATCGAAACAGGAAGTGAGTATAATGTGACACATGCTAATGATCAGGAACCCACATAAAAATGTATAGAGAAAATTGAATAACAAGGACCTGGAGGATGTCACTTAATGTAGGTTGTAGACTTTTGAAATTGTTTATTCCCATTGAAGCAATGATGCAGAACGTATTCTCAAAAGATAAATGGACTGACAGGTTTCCCATTTTTTTGTACCCATGTTCCTTTATCCCTCATATGAATAAAGGATTATAAGAAAAAAAATTTTACCCATTAATAGTGTTAAAATCATTCTGGATTATCTTGGCGGTAGTAACCCTGCTTTGGAGCAAAAATCTAGCGCTAACCACTTTTTAACATTTCAGATGTGAAAGGTTACTTTAAGGTATAGTTTACTTTCGTCAAATCAAATTGTGCATAGAAAACTTTAACCGCCAACTGTTTGTCATGGCTGCTGGAAGCGCATTCTTCAAGCATCAATTCAGTCGCTAATTGATGCTTGAATATGTTAATATGTTAAGGTAAACATACTTAATATGTTAAGGTAAATTTCGGATTTCTGCTTACTAAATGATTTGTATATAGGCTATGCTTGCCTATCTACAGGTTAATCACGCAAGTACCACGTCTCGGTAAATTCCCACTCACTTATGAGACGCGCGATCTGCGCTGCCTCGTCTCTCTCTCGCGTGCGTTCTGCAGCGATCACTTGGATAAGTCGTTGTTGCTTGTTGACGAGTTTGAGCGCGTGATGCGCGCTGTGAAAAAGTGTGTTGGAAACACAAATTGAGGACCAATCTGCGCCTTATTGATGACCCCTGGTGTTAATATACTGCATCTGTGCCAGCGCGTGATGTAATAAAACTGCAGCTCGTTAATAAACGTTTTTTTTCAAATCCATTTTATACAATTCGCCTTCAATTAGCAAGTGCACTCGCGCATAAACAATTTTCAAGTTCAACACTTTTCCATTGTTCCATTCAGTTGTGGATGCTGCTGATTCACCGAGACCGCCGCGGCTCAGCAAAGAGGCATGCGTGTGTGTGTTTTCCTTTGAAAAAATTTCCCCAGAAATACTTCGCTATTTAATGCATTTTTCCTTACAAATTGTATTTGAGTAAATGTGTAAAAAGTATGGCATGATGCCATCCTTCTAAAACAATGTGCATTTATGTTAAAATTGTAACATAAATGATCAAATTTAGTTATTCTTATTTCTTTATTGCAAAAAGCTAAAACTGGCACCGCTTTGGAGAGAAATGGGCTCTCATTGTAACCCATATCATGGTGTGTGATGCTGAACTATGAGTTTCTAATGGTGTTTGTATTTGCACTGTTCTAAACATTAATATTTTATGTGCAACAACAGCATGCTGTCTCAGTGGCCTTAAACATTATTTTAAATCTATTTTTTCAAACTTTATGATTTAAATGGGGATGATTGTACTGAGAATAACTTTCATCTTTTCTTCAACTGAATACTGTTTCCGTGCTGTTTTGATGTATTTTAAAGAGTTGGCGGTCAAAATTAAAACTGCTGGATGAAAGATATTCTTCATTCTTTATGACAAACAAGATAATGTGAATTACAGAATGTACAACGTTTTTAAAATATATAAATTGCAGTGTACAGCGTTTATTATGAGGGGGTAGAATCCACAGCTCAGTACTCTCTACTCAATACTCATGAGTACTTTTAAATAGGCTACTCTTTTACTCTTACTCAAGTAGTTTTTTGGGCAAGTACTTTTACTCTACTCGCACTACATTTTTTGGAAGGTAATGGTACTTTTACTTGAGTATATTTTTTCAGTACTCTTTCCACCACTGGGCATTTCTCAGAATCTTGTCTTTTGATGATCCACAGAAGAAAGAAAGTCACAAAGAGTAAAAAAAAAAAGATGACTTTATAGTAAACTACTCCGTTAACCTGGGTCAAGGATAGCATGGAAAAAAGCTCTTCCATACTAGACAACACTCTTGTATGAACCGCTGGGGCCTGCAAAGGACATGTTTACTGTATTCCTATCAGTGTTGGGTAAGTTACTCTAAAAAAGTAATTAATTACTAGTTACTAATTACATCTTCAACAGTGTAATTAGATTACTGTACAAATTAGTCTCTCCAAAAAGTATTTAATTACTTATTACTAATTACTTTATAAATCCTATATCAACCTCGACAAGTTAATGATACAAGGACAGACATGAAACGGTTCTTTTAATTCTTTCAAGTAACTATATAAATGATTCTGGTCACACTTTAGATTAGGGTCCAATTCTCACTATTAACTAATTATTAACTTTTGCCTCAATATACCCCTAATTACTGCTTATTAATACTTAGTAAAGTAGTTGTTAAGTTTAAGAATTGGGTAGGATTAAGGATTTAGAATAAGATCTTGCAGAATAAGACATTAATATGTGCTTTTTAAGTAATAATAATCAGCCAATATCCCAGTAATATTCATGCTAATAACCAACTAGTTAATAGTGAGACTTGGACACTAAAGTGTTACCAATATTCTTATTAACTCACCAAAGTATTTAAAGTGAGAAGGGTACATAAAAAGCATGCATTTTAAGGCTAGACTTAAAATTTTGATGTTAAATCCACTATTGTATTGTATATAAATGTTCTACAGTCTATACCCAGTATTAAGTTCAATTACATAAGAACTACCTGTAATAAATTTCAATAAATTTCAAGGGAAAAGTAAAGTACAGTAACTAATTACTTAGTAACTAGTTAAACCCAACACTGATTCCTATAATCTATAATACAGAAACAGTAGAACTGAAGTGTTCAATACAGTCAGAGAAGGATTTAGAATAAGATCTTGCAGAATAAGACATTAATATGTGCTTTTTAAGTAATAATAATCAGCCAATATCCCAGTAATATTCATGCTAATAACCAACTAGTTAATAGTGAGACTTGGACACTAAAGTGTTACCAATATTCTTATTAACTCACCAAAGTATTTAAAGTGAGAAGGGTACATAAAAAGCATGCATTTTAAGGCTAGACTTAAAATTTTGATGTTAAATCCACTATTGTATTGTATATAAATGTTCTACAGTCTATACCCAGTATTAAGTTCAATTACATAAGAACTACCTGTAATAAATTTCAAGGGAAAAGTAAAGTACAGTAACTAATTACTTAGTAACTAGTTAAACCCAACACTGATTCCTATAATCTATAATACAGAAACAGTAGAACTGAAGTGTTCAATACAGTCAGAGCTTAATGAGTTTTGATTGATGAGCATGTAAATGATCTCTGTTGCTTTGATGGCTGGCTGGAAAGACGTGGTTCTTCCTCTGACAAGAACTGTTTCAATAGAATGGCCTGATCCTGTTTGACATAAGATTTGATTACATGCATCTTAATGGGAAGCAAAAGAATTTGCAATTGCAAAAATATGCCAAACAGCTGTTAACAATAAAATGGTTAATATGGCTGTATTGATGTAGATTTCATGAGTTTTTTCTAGTCTTACACGGTCCCCTAGCCAGGTGCAAAATAATCAAAATATCTCTTTCGTGTCTTTCAATTTTTTGTCCTACTCCTAACCAACCACAACAAACATTAGGACACCTTGTCTGTTACTTGATTTCTATTCGGTTATGTCACGTGTATCAGTTTCTGGGTCCAAACACTCCTTCAGATCCCAAAACAAACGGTGCTAATATACACTTACATTGTGCTGTAGTACTACTGAAAAAGCATGATCCTAACCTTTGTCTCCATACTGAAATCTCGTTAGCCTGACAGTAATTCATCTTTTCTGAATTGTTGAAATATTGCTGTCTGGGATACTGTGAGCCCAGAGACTGTAGTGTACACCATAAGTTTTTAAAAGCTTAGTTTAAAGGTGTGCTATCAATAAATAGATCTCATAAATTCTAACCTTAAAATGGAGTAGAGGCTACAAACCGGAAACAGTATTCGCAATTGTCACGATTTAACTTGCAGATTTTAATGGTGGAGTGCTTGGTAGCCCCGCCCACAGTGAAATCTTATTGGTCCAAAATTCTGCTCCACATAATATAGATGTACATTAGACATCAACATATCTTCTGATTTGTCTGTGATTGTATCATGTCACAGAGCAGGTTCACTTTCAGTGTGAAGAATAAAAATTACTTGCTACTTTTAATTTGTTTAGGACATTGTGTTATTTTTATCACTTTTTAGCATCCTTCTTCTTAAGATGTTTATTTCTTCTCATTTAATTTGCACTGTTTGTTCTTGGTGCCATATGTTGGCTGTTTTTTTATGGTTTTGATCAGATATGACCCAAGTTCCTTTTTTGTAAATCTCAGAAAATTCCCAAATGTTTTAAATGGGGTCACTCTTTGGTCTTGTATCACAAATCTCTGTGAAATGCGTCTCAGTTTGTGCAGTAGCTGTTGTTTAGTTGCAGTTAATCTGATCTGTGGAGTCTTCAGTGTGCTGGCCAATCATCTGACTGTGCTGTTGTGACAGAAATGGGCCACGCACTAAGAGATATTGTATATAAAACTTGTTTCTACATTTTTTTCTGGATCTCTATCTCTTTCTCTCTCTCTCTCTGTTGTGTCCTCTCTGAATCAGCTTCATTGATTCACATACTTGCTCATTCTGTCCGCCGACCTTGTCTGACACATTAGTGTAACATTATCTTGCATTGTCTAGAGCCCTCCTGTCTCACATCAGACTAATCAATGCACTGGTTGTGTGTGTGTGTGTGTGTAATAACCACACATGGCATATCAGATCCTTTCCCTCTGCTTCTGCTGTTTCTTGTACAACTCCCATGCTGTCTGTTTTTTGTATTCAGCTTTTTGTAATGTGTCCCCAACATATTCAGCAATTCTAAACTTGCATACAAACACATGCTCTTGCAACACATACAAACACACTCAGTACCTTCTAATGAAGGACCCTTCGAATGCCATCAGGAAGCCTGTTGGATTTCCTGGACCAAATGAGATGCCAGGGAGACAGATGGACATGAGAGAGGCCCAATCAGATCCCACACTCGGATCAAAGTAGGAGTTTATTCTGCTGCATGATGGATTCACACATTTTGATCCCACCCTTGTCCCAAGCCTTGACCCCTTTACCCTGGCACATCTTGCCTCCAAAGACATATCCCTAATAAGGATTACCCCACTTCACCTCTGATAGATGTTTGATGGTTATTATCAAAGATTATTCCTTTATAGAGCAATGATTTAATTGATTAAGTTACAGATCAGCTGATGTCAGTCATCATGTTTGTCATGTCATGAGACCTAACATGAAATTTCAGTCTAAGACATTATAAAATCAAAGGTATTATAATAATGTTAATATACACTGAACAAAATTATAAACGCAACACTTTTGTTTTTGCCCCCATTTGTCATGAGCTGAACTCAAAAATCTAAGACTTTTTTTATGTACACAAAAGGCCTATTTCTCTCAAATATTGTTCACAAATCTGTCTAAATCGGTGTTAGTGAGCACTTCTCCTTTGCCGAGATAATCCATCCACCTCACAGGTGTGGCATATCAAGATGCTGATTAGACAGCATGATTATTGCACTGGTGTGCCTTAGGCCGGCCACAATAAAAGGCCACTCTAAAATGTGCATTGCTGTGTTTTATCACACAGCACAATGCCACAGATGTCGCAAGTTTTGAGGGAGCGTGCAATTGACATGCTGACTGCAGGAATGTCCACCAGAGCTGTTGCCCGTGAATTGAATGTTCATTTCTCTACCATAAGCCATCTCCAAAGGCGTTTCAGAGAATTTGGCAGTACATCCAACCGGCCTCACAACCGCAGACCACGTGTAACCACACCAACCCAGGACCTCCACATCCAGCATCTTCACCTCCAAGATCGTCTGAGATCAGCCACCCGGACAGCTGCTGCAACAATCGGTTTGCATAACCAAAGAATTTCTGCACAAACTGTAAGAAACCATCTCAGGGAAGCTCTTCTGCATGCTCGTCGTCCTCATCGGGGTCTCGACCTGACTGCAGTTCGCCGTAGTAACCGACTTTAGATACTGACTGGTTTTCGGAACCCCCCCGGACCTCCCAATACAGTAAAACTGCACATTTTAGAGTGGCCTTTTATTGTGGCCAGCCTAAGGCACACCTCTGCAATAATCATATTGTCTAATCAGCATCTTGATATGCCACACCTGTGAGGTGGATGGATTATCTCGGCAAAGGAGAAATGCTCACTAACACCGATTTAGACAGATTTGTGAACAATGTTTGAGAGAAATAGGCCTTTTGTGTACATAGAAAAGGTCTTAGATCTTTGAGTTCAGCTCATGAAAAATGGGGGCAAAAACAAAAGTGTTGCGTTTTATAATTTTGTTCAGTGTATTAAGGTTAAAGTGACTTTATTAAATATTTTCCTGGGTTTAGCATGGATGCGCTTGCATGTCCTGTTGCATGGCATGATGGCAGTATATGAGAGCTTGTTTGACACTTCAATGTAAAGTGTTGACTATTTTCACAAATAACTAAACATGTATTAATAAGTCAGTCTGACTGATTTGTGCATTTTAGTTGGTTGTATAAATATATTAAGCTGGTGAAGTGTGCAGATTTTTTATTTTATTTTAAAACAAATACTGACTTGAGACCACACATAAACTAGTTCTACCCAGATGTTCATCGTGGAATAACAAAAATAGTATTTGGTCGTTGTTTTCCCGATCTTCTCAGGTGTTTGTTTTGGAGATGGTCACCTGTATGAATCCTACTTTTGAGTGTACAAATCTATTTTCTATGAGGGGGAATGAAAACATGCCAAACAAATGTCCAGCACTCTTTTCAGTCTAGTTTATAGCAACAATGATTATTTGCTTTCAGAGGTAATGCCACATGCAGCTCTCCTGTGCATATCTTATGTGAAACGGGTAAAAAAAAAAGCACAAGGAAAAGAACACCAAAACAATGTAACTTGCTGTACTCAAAGAAATAGAAGAGCATTCATATATGAGCACAGATATACATTGCCGTGTTGACACGCCTGTCTGCACATCATGAGCAGGTTCTATGAATCACTGCTGCTTTCTAAGCTTCACCTTGTGAAGTTTGAACAGTAACGATTCTGGTTGATTCTAGTAACATCCTCCGTGCCAATGGTTGCCAGCACCATCTGGGCCGGCGTCGCGCACACACACACTCCCACACCGTCTTTCCCGCATCCTGGACCAGCCCCAGAATTTTAGCAGATGTCCCGGGTGCTCCACTGTCAGTCTCCATAGTAACATCTTGGGGTTTTTTTCTGCCTTTCCTCTCCATTTCCCCTTTCTCCCTCTTTCTGCAGTGCCAAGAGGAGGAAGATGGCTGATAAGATCCTTCCACAAAGGGTGAGTAAGAGATCTGAGCCCTTTCATTGGTTTAGCTGGGTTTTTTTGTGTGCAAATGTGCACGGATGAAAATGCACGGGTGTGTATGTACGTTACGGTAGACAGAGATGTTTTGGAGGGCTTTTGCCTTCAGTAATTGTCACCTCAACCAGACAATGCAGATATTGTCTGCACTGACAACAGGTCATTTAAAAAAAAACTATTGTATATTGTAAAGTATCTAGATTTTTTTCTACATAATATCTGTTCTAGTTAATGTCAGCTTCCAATTGTGTATTATATTCTGAGATATTCTAATATTACAATATATAATCTAAAATATAAGACATGATGACGGCTGAGACATGGTGATGGCTGTTGCTGTCAATCAATTTTTTATAATTTAATAGGGTTTAAACATTGTATATGAATAGTTCTGTTCTTAGTTTTTTATAGTCACTGTGTCACTATGAGTTGGTTGTGTTAGATAAGATAAGCAGCATTATGTGTGTGCTATCAGGCCTTATAGATAGATACAACTCCAGTGGAGACGCCAGATGCATTAGTCATTGACGAAACACTCAGACTATTGTACACAGAACAAGGGAAATAACTAGGATAGTTTGGATTTCCTTACCAGTGCTCCACCCTTTTTCAGATTCGTGAGCTTGTTCCGGAGTCACAGGCGTATATGGATCTGTTGGCATTCGAGCGCAAATTAGACCAGACCATAATGCGCAAACGGGTGGACATCCAAGAGGCACTTAAGAGACCCATGAAGGTATTTCTCATCCTCATAGTCCATATATTCTTTTTCATTTAATTTCCTGAACAGACTGTTTTATTAAACCAATTTTAAAAGTATATATGCGTTTGCACTTATACTTTTGTTAACCTATATCAGACAATTTCAAGCAGGCATAAGGAACCTTGGAACAAGCATTTTCACCTGCAGTCTAGTCGTCTCTTATTGAACCATTTGACACCAAACAACTTAAATGAGCATAAAATGAGGCTGGTGCCATTATTCTGAGTGTTTAGCTTCTCATATTTTACCACTTATCTGCTTAAAAGCATTTTTCCAACATAATGACTGTGTTTTTTGTAATGCCTCTTTGTGAGCATACAGGAGTAATATATGGAAGCCCGTTTCCGCCACTAAATAAAAAATAAAACAAGGTAATTGCGACTTTTTATCTCGCAATTCTGACTTTTTTTCTCGGAAATGCCCGTTTATATCTCGCAATTCTGACTTTATAACTCACAATTCTGAGAAAAAAAAGTCATAATTGCGACTTTATATCTCGCAATTCGGACTTTATAACTCGCAATTCTGAGATAAAAAGTCGCAATTACCTTGTTTTATTTTTTATTCAGTGGTGGAAACTGGCTTCCATACTAATATCATCTTGAGGATTGAATAAAGATAAATATTCAGATTAACAAATTTTTTCCTATTTGAAGCAAAAGCGAAAACTGCGTCTCTACATCTCCAACACGTTTAACCCTGCCAAGCCTGATGCAGAGGACTCTGAAGGAAGCATTGCATGCTGGGAGCTACGTGTGGAGGGCAAACTGCTGGATGATGTGAGTCAGTTGTACTTAAATCAATAATTGCACAACACAGATATTTTAAATCCTTTACTTTGAAACCCAGACGTGTTGGTTGACTTTTGTATGACTTTTGTATCACAAATAACTGTCTGCAATGTTTGATCATGCGTTTTTTGTTTCTGACATCATACCTTGTGAATGGCAGCTATGTGCATTTTGAATTAGTGAGGTTAAATTTACTCTCCCAGGCTCCACGTCTTGACCACAGACATGTGCCTCACTTACCAGTGAGATCACTTCCCAGCCTCCATCCATACATACGTGCCAGAAAGTTCTGTGGGTCCCTTGACTTGGACTGTTTTTCCTTACTCTACTCTTTTGATAGTTGTGTGCCATGCACCCTTTTAACCAACAATGCGTATCTTAAAGGAATATTCTCGGTTAGTTACATCTGTAACTCTGTCGAATGCCTTTGTGGCATGCTTTTATTTTCAAAAGGAAAATTCAGCCTAAAAAGAATGCACTTAATGGCAGTCTAGCAGGCAAGTGTACATCACCCAGAATAAATGTTCAAAATAGGCAGCGATCATTATATTATTGAAGTGCATAAGCATAAAACATGAATATTATACATGCGTTACACTGGTTTGAAAGAATCATTTACCTTCTCAGTCGAAAGAATCATTCAAACCTTCCCATTTTGAAAGAATCATTTACCTTCCCACCCTGTTCCTTTTGCATGGTGTCACTGTGATATACCAGGAAGGGACGTGATATAACTATTCATGAAGTGCTGTTTATATGCAGCAGACTCCACCTACAGGAATTACATTAGTAACGAATAACCAGAAGTTACCATAAAATGTTTCCTCTTTAAAATGAAGGTTAAGATTACTTGCCTGCTGTCTGTAATTCGGTATCGCAGAATTATATTTTATATTTGACTTCGATCTTAAATCTGTTTAGTGGTTTCCATCAATAAGATTAAATAGAAGTTAAAGCTGAGGCTCATTGCATGTTTGTTTTCGCTCGAGCATGTTCCCTTCATCTCGAGCCACAAAGGCACTGGAGCATGGCTAAACATGCAAAAACGTTTTGTTTAGTTTTTTTTACTTTGTGATCTGAAACACCTGCTAATGTACCGGTTTGATTCATGTGATTGCAGCTGAAGCATCATGGGGACGAAATTCTTAAGAGTTTATGCAGTGCAGCATTAAATCCAGCCTCTTGGGTCAGTCTCTAACCAAGACCCGTTTAGCTAGTACACTTGAGGCATGTTTTTCCATGCCCAAAGAAATGAAACTAGTACTTATTGATGATGGCTTGAAAGGCTCATGCCGCCTCTGGGCTGAATGGAATGTTGTCATGCTCGGCAAATCATCCACCAGTATGCCACATTTGCAATGAACATTTAGCCCCTTCTCTTCTATGGAAAGTCTACCAGGAAAGTTTATGATGTGGTGTAAAGTTCTTGCTTTCCAACAACGACTTCATCCTTGAAACTGGATAGTTTGCTCAGTGGCACAGTCTGAAAACAGTATTCATGCTTTCTTGCACAGCCGGGAAAGATGAAGAGGAAGTTCTCCTCATTCTTCAAGAGTCTGGTGATTGAGCTTGACAAAGACCTTTACGGCCCTGATAACCATTTGGTTGAGGTTGGTGTTTGATTTCCTGCTTATCACTCTAAATAACAGTGAAACAATTTTTTTCAAACCATAAATTCTTAAAACCAAGAACCAGAACCACAATAAATATCTTATATTTTAACTGCATTTATGGCACGGCAGTAACTGTGTTTCTTTTCTTTTTAAGTGCGAGCATGCTGATTTCTTTTTTCTTTTTTTTCTGCAGTGGCATCGTACCCCAACCACTCAGGAGACAGACGGTTTCCAGGTGAAGAGGCCTGGAGATGTGAACGTGCGCTGCACCCTGCTGTTAATGCTGGATTACCAGGTGAAGGCAACAAAATGCATCCAGTAATGTTTACTTGTATGTTTACTGTTCGAAGAACTGCAACATGGTGCAAAATGCGATTGTATAATTTCACCATGTCAAATTTGAAAGCATTTTTTCTTGGTCATGTGTGATTTTCGGTTTCATTATTAATTTCTGTCAGACCTTGAAGCCTTGCGTTTCATTGAAGTAATGGGTGACTATCACATATATGAGTATATTAGAACCGAACTCTGTGAGTAGCAGGTCTACTTATTAATTATTTTGTGATGCTTTACTTTGTGACAGTCAAAATAGATAAATATTTTTCTGCTGTGCCTACTTTGTTAGATTAGAAGTTAATGAAACTTATTAATGTATTAAATTATTAATAGTTAATTAAATGTAGGCATGGGTCAGTACTCCGAAATGTAGATGGAACACACTAAAAAGTAACTGAAAAGCATTATTTATCTGAGAGCTTTGTTCTGAGTGCAGCCGCCTCAGTTTAAACTGGATCCGCGTCTGGCTCGTCTGCTGGGAATACACACACAGACTCGCTCCAGTATCATCCAGGCTCTCTGGCAGTATGTCAAAACCAACAAACTGCAGGACTCACATGACAAGGAGTACATCAACTGTGACAAGTACTTCCAACAGGTACACTTGATTGGAATCATTGATTAACATTCATCACAATCTGTAATTAATGAATGAATCAGCCTCACTTAAACCCCTATAATGTATTTGATATTTAAAATAACACTTCTGTTCATAGTTCATAGCAACACATGGTGGAATTATTATCTGAAGCCAGGATACTGTATTTCAATCTAGAGCTTTTTTTGTTTCTCCTCTCACAGATCTTTGACGGTCCACGTCTGAAGTTCTCTGAAATTCCACAGCGCCTCACCAACCTTTTGCTCCCCCCCGACCCTATTGTCATCAATCACATCATTAGGTTTGGATGTCTGATTATGTGGTCAAATGTGTCAGATTTATTGCAGATACTGTAGTGTTCTTCATCTTATACACTGCTGGTCAAATGTTTAGGGTCAGTAATTTTTATTCAGCTAGGACACATCATATTGATCAAAACAGTAAAGATCTTAATAATCTTGCAAAATATTTCTATTACAAATCTATTACTATAACAGTTATTTTGAACTTTCTACTCATCAAAGAATCCTGAAAAAATGAGCACCATATCAGCATATTAGAATGACACTTAAAACAGGAGTAATGGCTGCTGAAAATTCAGCTTTATCATAACATGAATAAATTAAATCAAATATATTCAAATAGAAAACAGTTATATGAATAACATTTCACAATATATTTTTCTTTTACTATATTTTTTATCAAATAAATGCAGCCTTTGAGAGCATAAGAGACTTCTTCGCAAAAACATGACCCCAAACTCTTGAACAGTATTATTTTAATTCAGCCTCATCACATCTCTGTCGATATGTATATAATCCAAAACAGGAGTATTATGGTTCAGTTGTTGATTGTGCCTTATGCTTTGTCTTCTCTATATAACATGAATTCTCATTGAGGTTATTTTTGTGCAGCGTCGACGCTAATGATCAGAAAAAGACGGCATGCTATGACATTGATGTAGAGGTGGAAGATCCCCTTAAAGCACAAATGAGCAGCTTCTTGCTCTCCACAGCCAATCAGCAAGAGATTGCCTCTCTGGACAACAAGGTTAGAGCACGTCTCCCACATCAGTGTGGGCACAGCGGAGCAGATGATTGAACTTCTAGACATTTTGTTCTGAATTATAGGGTCTCTGATTTCGACTCGTATTATTACAGTTAAGCTGACAGCAGGATAATAATCAGGATTGAACAACTTCTGCAGTGCCATCATGTCTGTGAATACACCCTTGATTGTTCAGTTTGGTTCTAAATGCTCTGCAGATCCACGAGACTATTGAGTCCATCAATCAGCTGAAGATCCAGAGAGATTTCATGCTCAGCTTCTCCAGAGATCCCAAAGGCTACATCCAGGACTGGCTCAAATCCCAGAGCAGAGATCTGAAGGTCTGCAACAACAGTCATTCTTCTACACATGACTCTTGACATTTATATAATGTATATTTTTGAAAATGAAGTGTGTTTTTCTGTTACAGTACTTTCTCATATTTCAGTTTAATGTGCTGAGACAGATATATGTTTAAGCCAGCTGAAGGCTGAAGTCCCAAAAAGTGTAAACAAAACATTGCTCGGATTGTTTGAGTGGTCCGATATGTCAACTTCTGGCTCAACCAATGGCATGAGTTTAGGGCGGGACTACCTGTTTGGAACAGGTCAGAAGGGGCATAGGAGTGTTTGGTAAACCTGTTTGGAAATTAAGTTTGCTGTTCTGTTCTGTTGCTGCTGTTACTGATACAGTTATTACACACTTTGAACCAAATTTATAAAGGTTTCAACAAGGTATTTGCTTCATATTCAGTAGTTTCCACTAGTAAAATCTGAAACTTCAACAGCTCTCATACACTGCCATTCAAAATCGTGGGTTAAGGTCATTCATTTTGGGCTCAAGATTTTATTTTTCATAAGAAATGTATACTTTTATTTAGCAAGGATGCAACACATTAATTAAAAGTGAGAATAAAGACTTGCATATTAAAAAACATTTTAACAATTACATTACAGAATCCTGAAAAAATGGTATCATGGTTTTCACAAAAATATTAGGCAGCACAACTGTTTTCAACATTGATGATAATAAGAAATATTTCTTGAGTACCATGATTTCTGAAGGACTGGAGTAAACTTCAGCTTTGCTATCACAGGAATAAATTAAAATTAATGAACAAAATAATCAATTAATGAATTAAAATATATTTAAATGGTAAGGAGTTCTTTTAAATTGTAATAATATTACTAGGTTTTTATCAAATATATGCAGCCTTGGTGAGCATAAGAAACTGAAAATTCAGCTTTGCATCACAGGAATAAATAGCATTTTAAAATGTATGAAAACAGAAAACATTAAAAGCTATTTTAATTGTATATTGTAATATTTATGATCATATTTCTCAGTATTTTACTCTATTTTTGATAAAGAGCGTAAGAGACTTCCTTTAAAGCAGCTCTATGTAACTTTTGGCGCTCTAGCGGTTAATAAACAGAACTTGCACACATCCCGCGGAAGAACATTCCAACCGGAGCTACGTCTCTAAGTTTATGTCTATGGCGATTCACGCAGGTATGTGTTACTCCGCAGCGGTGACGACCCGACCAGGCTACAATAGTCCAAATATAAGTACTTATAAGTGTACCGTAGTGATTCGGAATAAGACAAAAACACGGTTTGGAAGATGAATTGAGATGATGTACTCGCTCATTATATACATTTTGAACACAGAAAAAAGTTACATAGTGCTGCTTTAAAACCTTAATTTATGTGATTTGTTTCTCTGCAGATATGCAGATATTAAAGACTTAATGTCCTGCATCATGTTTGTCCTGATGTTGTCCCACATTTCTAACTGGTAACACATTTTGATCGTTTGTAGCTGATGACAGATGTTGTTGGGAACCCAGAGGAAGAGAGGAGAGCAGAGTTTTATCATCAGCCTTGGTCTCAGGAGGCTGTTAGCCGTTACTTCTACTGCAAGGTAAGAATAGCAAAACATAGTGTGAACCTCCTCGGTGTCCTCACTGCACTGGACAAAAACTGATTGGCTCTTTGTCTTTCCACTTTCTAAAGATTCAGCAGAGGAGGCAGGAGCTGGAGCAGGCCTTGGCCTTGAGGAACACCTAGAACTCACACCGACCACATTCAGAAAACATGGCTCATTTGTGACAACACTGCCTCCTCATGGAGATCCCTGCATTCTTTTACGCAGTGTATGGGGGTTTGTGTGCGTGTCCAGTTATCGTTGTTGTCACTGTGACCTACAATCCACCATAATGGACCAATCACACCCTGTTACTCCTGCAGCCCCATTGTATAGTATGTGCATTTCAACCAATTCAGCCATTCCTGGTTGAAATCATCTCACAATGCACTATTTGGATTTCTGGGTTTGAATACCAATCACATCCACCAACATTTTGAACTTGATGACATCAGAGCCGGCTCAGTCTCCTAGACTGGATCCAACGTTGATTCAGTTGTGATTCAGCCTTTCTTCCTGTCAGTCATCAATTCCTGGCATTCACACACATTTTCCCTATGATGAACGTGTGTTTGGACACCGGTATTGATGATGTGTCTAATTTAGTCCACACTTGTTCCAGTTTTGTTTTGGGGTATTGATCAAAAAGGTAATTTTGTATGTCTGTCAGTGTTGGGAATCAGTGGAGCTACAATAATCGTCTCCATTATTAACACTTTTATTCAGAAGTGCATTTATGAAGTACTTTGAGGGAGGCAGCTTAAAAAGGAGAATCATTCAGTATTAACTGAGCTGGTGGCTTACTGGGTATGTCACTCTCTACTGTCTGTCCCTGCCACAATAATGACATTTAGCTGCGTTTTAAGTAAATAGTGTACTGATTGAAGGAGGTTTTAAAGTATTTAAAAGCTATTCTGACATATAAAGACAAAACAGTAACTACACCCACACTCAAGTGTTTGAGTTTTTTTTAACGTTTTGATAAATTTTCACACTTTTTTTTTTATTATTGAATTCTGTGTAGTTGCTGCGTTTTGCCTTTGTAGGACAGTACTGACATAGTCATTAGTCCACAGTTTTTGAGAAGTTTTCACATATACAAAGAAAATGGGCCATACCAGCATGCTGGTATAATGTAATCCGCTTATGTCATGGCTTATCAAATACCGTGTCTGGGTCCAAGCCTCCATTTCAAATAAGAATACAATCTCAGTTGCCGTTTATGAGCACTGGACGTTAATGGTACACCTTTAAGCTAAGCTTCCAGTGTACACTACAATCTGGGCTCACGGTGTCCTAGTCACCAAAATTTTAACCAGTCAGAAAAGATGAATCACTGTCTAGTTAACTGAGATTTCAGTATGAACTTAAAGGTTAGGATCATGATTTTTTTTAGTAGTACTATAGCGCACCGCAAGTGTATATTAGCACCATTTGTTGTTTGTTTTTGGGATCTGAGTAACGTCAGACTAGAAAGATCATCAGCCAGCTAGATAAAAGTGAATATTCTGTAAAATCTTGTCTTTTCACAGACATTTCTTTATGCTTCACCAAAACACCTTTTTTGTGCACCTGGCATTACCATGTTCTTGTAGAAGTTCCTTTGAATCCTGAATTATTTTTTATCCATTTCAATAGTGTTGTTTAAAATAACATACTATGGGCATTTGTGTATGTCACTAATGTCTAGGGATTTTATAGCATTAGTGTTGTTTAATGTTTTACCAAAGGTGTAATTTACTTTTTAAAAAGACAGTGTACAGACTTTGACTAGATGAAGGACTTTTTAAAAGATGAAGGATACATTTTTAGAGAATACACATTTCAAATTCTCATTTCTCCATAGCTGTGAAAACAGTGCTTTTAAAAATGACTTTGACTCATATTCTTTGCACTAAATCATGGATCATAACTGAGCGCTCTGAACGCTTTCCATGCTAATTATACGTCACCTAAACAAAAAAGTCGAGAAATTAAATATGAACTCGGGAATAAATGTCACATGACTTCTCATTGGTTCTGGGTTTTGATCGTGAACCCTTTGCTGCTGCTTTACTGTCGGCTGTAGGAGGGTTTGTGTTCTTGCAGTTTGCCTGTGATCCTCACGCATCTTCTCGTGAGGAAAAAGGAACTCTGGTGACCTGTGTGTTGTCCCTCAGAGTGTTTTTTCAGACCTATGCATGCTGCATGGACACATTTTTATACTTTCATACAAGGACATGAGAAACCTTCTGACTGCTTGGGACTTGGATCAGAAGAGCACTGAGTTTCTTTAGTTAGTGACCCTCTGTGTCTGGGTCACAGCCTCTACATACAGTACCAACATGTACAGCAGGGGCCATTTTAGGTCATATTATTTTTTGTTTTGTCTTTTAAAAAGACTTTGCAATTTAATATGGATAAGAGAAGCACACCAATGATTTTTACAGAGCCTGTTGGGCAACAACAGCACCTCCCATCGATTCTTGTGGGTACTACATGTATAGTCAGCCATTTTGAACATTATAAACTTGAAGTATAACATCTAACTGTGTTGCTGTGTTAGTGGCTGAACAAGGTTTTCTGTTCTCATGTGTAAAGTAACCTCTTCTCTTAAGCCACCAACTGTGCTTTACCTGACCATCATGTGGTCACGGGTTCAATGTTACCATCTCTCTTGCTTATAGTCGTAGTGTGGATCATGCTGCCCTCCAGTGCTTCTGTAAGGGAAAATATCTAGTAAGTTTTAATGATCCACTATGTATTTTTTTCTCTCTCTCACAGTCTGTATATGTTTGCTTTCTCATCTTGTTCCACTGTTCAGCTAGAGAGATCAAAACTACAGACATACATGTGTAGCATAGTGAGGATGTAAATAAACAAGCGCTTGCCAAAGTTTGTGAATGGAACACCATACTGAAAGTGTGTTGAGAGTTTATTCTGGTGATGTGAATTAGTGGTTCTCAACCAACGAGTCAGGGCCCACTAGGGGACCAAATTAAGTTATATCGAATTACTTAAATTATTATTTTAACAAATCTTTAAAAACTGCAACCAAAAAAAAAAAACAGAGGTACACGTCTCCTTAGATAGTAGGGCTTTGAATATTTTCTTGGACAAAGGGGGCTTTGAATCAAAATGGTTGAGAAGCACTGCATTTGTGTAAAATTCAGGGGGGGAATCACACAATCAAATGAAGTTACACGTGCTTTGATAACACAATTGTGATAGTTAATTATAATAGACTCATCTCTGAAAACAATTATTTTTGTGGTGATACAGCAGGGAGTATTAATTTAATTATTAGTGATTTATCCAGTATTTGTTTTCCTTTTCTTAACTCTTAACACATGATAAAGGTGTCATTATGCTAATGAGGAAAGTGGTGTTTGTATTCAGTAGCTGGCCACACCCTCCACTTTAAAGGGGTCATATGATGCGATTTCAATTTTTCCTTGAGAAGTTTTCACATATACAAAGAAAATGGGCCATACCAGCATGCTGGTATAATGTAATCCGCTTATGTCATGGCTTATCAAATACCGTGTCTGGGTCCAAGCCTCCATTTCAAATAAGAATACAATCTCAGCTGCCGTTTATGAGCACTGGACGTTAATGGTCCCCCACATATCTACCTCACTATGTGGGAAGATTTGCATAACGCTGCCCAAATGTTCACGCAAAGAAAGAAGGCGTAACTTTTATTCTCGCTGTAGTATCGTTGCTGCCGCCATGTTGTGAAGGCACTGTGTGTTTCATTGTGAAAGCGAAACTACTTTGTTTGGTCTTCCAAAAGAGGACGATATCCACTTCGTCATGCCTGGAGCTGATCCGTGCTGGTCGCTGAGGAAATACTTCAACTTCGCGCTAGGGCTGTGCAATATATCGAAATATCGCAAATGTACATATCGCAATATGCATATCATTACAGCTTGCAATATTTGGGGCCATGAACAAAAGACAAAGAGAAAATCACTCACTCTTACCTAAACTTTTGTAGCTTAAATAAGAATCCGTGCGTATTGAATTCAAAGAGTAAATACTACGCAGTGTATTATTTTTCCTTTTTATTATTCAGTTCCTAAACTCATGTTAAAATGATTACACTAATGTTCAAATTACATTTTTATGTAATGCTTGAGTAAAACACTACCGTTCACTTTCAGAAGTTGTTGTAGGGGTGCTTTCTTATTAGAATCAGAATCAGAATGAGATTTATTCACCACTTAAGTGTGAGCAAACACAAGGAATTTGTTGTGGTTTTACAGGAACTGTTGATACATACATACATACATACATACAAATAACCATATATATATGACACATGATAGTTATAGAAGGTCACAGAACTGACTCCGCAACAGTAAAACGGTTTCATCTGAGCATGTGGCACTTTAAGCATTATGGTATCGCATATCGAATATTGCATTATTTAATGAGTTATCGTATATTGCATTTTTCTTCCCTACTTCGCGCTGTGGATCGCCGGATCGGCTTTCACCGTGGACGAAGTCCAGCCCGGGGTCGCCACATGTGGTTGCCGCAAGCCCGCCGGCCGCTCTTTCGTCGAATCCGCCGGCCACGGCTCACTCTAGCCCGCCGTGTGTGACGCTGTGTTTCGTTGTGAAAGTGAATCTACTTTGTTTGGCCTTCCAAAAAAGTGCACCACTAGAAATCAGTGGTTAAGTTGTATTTACAACACTGTTCCAGAACAGTTCAACCCAAATATTCAGATGTGTGCAGCACATTTTATTTAGACTGTTTCCTGATCCTGGTAGAGTAGACTATAATGCTGTCATATTTAAAGAATTTGCCACTGATTATTCAAATGCGAGTTTTGAGCAGTGTAGAGTAGTGCTTGTTGTTTGTCGCTTCTCCGATCACAAATGCAGTCATGGTTTTGTTTACGCGGCGCGATGCAACACGTAAAAAGACAGTATAAGTCATTATAATCCGTAATTATGTCACCACTGGATGCAACAAATGCCTCGTTTTTAATGGGTTGTAATGTTTTTGTCTCGTCGCTCTGGCCGGACATGGCATCACAGTAGGTGGCTGAGGGCGTCCCTCTGTTCTCTGAAATGCATGAAAATAGCAGAGCGGAGAAAGACTTCCATACATACAGTGGGATTGAGAATGTACTGTATTAACCTATGCTCCCTGTGGAAGAAGACGAAAGGCACCATTTCACGTCAATGTCTCAGGCCCCTCTAAACATTACGGTGTGTATTGAATTTCATCTGTCATCAGCTAAAAATCAGCTGAAAAAGTGGAGGAGACTGAAAATGTTCAGACTGTGGTGAACCAGACCCAGCTAGTTAAGTAAAACGTGTTTATTTCCTCCAGTCTGTTTTTCAAGAGTATAGGCACTCTTTGTACAACAATCTCTAAAGGTCTCTTCTCAAGTCTGGTCCGCAGGTGCCTATATTTAAATATGGAATGTCACTTTTAGTTATATGTGAACCAATGGTGTTCAGTGTCACTGATGTCAAACCAGAGACCACACAAGTAAGCAAAAACATGGATTTTGTAAGCAGGAATTAACCCTTTAACCAGTGTTGCTTAGTTCTATGCACTTCAAGATACTTGATACTATATATAAATATAAAAGTGGGTGCATCATAGTAATGATTCATAATCAGGTTTCACTTTTTTTTTTTTATTCAGTCCTGAAATATTCAGCACATTCTGTTCAAAGGTCATACAATCATATATCTGGAGGAAGAAAGATGGCTCAAGTTACTTGTATAGCTGAGTGTAGAACCTCTACTAACCACCTAAAGTCTGATATGTTCATATAGTAAAAGATGAATGCGGTCCTTATGCATTTCCATTGCTAACGTCAGGTTCCTGCATTCAATCATCGGTATTAATGTAAACTAGGTGAAATGCATTCCTCAAGTTTTATTTAAAATGAGTTATGAAGATATTGTGTTTGTTGTTCTCTGGTTAAATTAGTTACACATTCATGGGTTAACTCCATTTTATGTAGATCCTTAAAGGGACCCAAAAATGGAAAATCTTGTCATTATGTACTGATCTTCTAGTCAATACAAACCTGAATTTCTTTCTTTTGACATTCATTGTATAGACCAAAAAAAACACATTCTTCAAAATGTCTTCTATGTTCCGCAAAAGAAAGTAAGATATACAGATTCTGAACAACTTTTCACAAGGCGACTTCACCGTGTTTGGCTGAACTGAGATGACTGGATGATCTGTGCGGAGAAGTTCACAGCATCAGGGTGAAATTCACTCGGTCAATATCAGTAGGTCATTTAAGGCCACCTAAATGAGAATCAAGACGTTTAAGCCATCTTAGGGTTGCAGTAGTAGTCAGTTCAGGTGCTGTTAGCCTGCTCCTGTTCAAACAGAGCCATCGCTAGGTGTGATCGAGAGGCCAGCCCCTCGAGGTTACTGAGCACACAGCGGTGATAGATGTCCTCACTGAACCGTGGGTTACATTCTCTGTGCACATACTTCTGAACTAGCGCTGGCTCGACAGCCCGAAACACGTGCAGCCCCGAATAACGCACAAAGATCTCGTAGACATCCATGCTCTCAAGCAATTCATCATTGTCCAAGATGTCAGCCGCCATTTTTGTGCGGGCAGCCATATAATCTGCATTGTAGAAGCAGGCTTCTTCAAAGACGTGCCGGTCAAAGTGGCCATCGCGCAATGACTCCGACGCAAACGATGAAGCAGCGGAAGGCTGTTGGTCGCGGTAGACAAGAGCGGGACTGTACTCTTGAAAGTGGATCGGGAAGAAGACCTGCCAATTGCTGATAGCATTCATACGGCAGCGATTAAGTAAGTCAGCGTTGACCTCGGTCCAAACGCTGGCCAGGAAGAACAGGGTGTCTACTGGGTGCTTCTTGGAGATGATGTCCATCAGCTTGACCTGTGAGGGAACTTCAGTCTTTACACTAATCCAAGGAATCTTTACATCACCATAACGTTTCTCTACCTCACCAATCATGGCTTTGACACCTGCAAAGACATCCGTCTGGCTGACTCTTTGGGCATCGAAGGGGTCATACACAAACAAGAAGGTGAGAAGAGCATTGTCATGGGTATCCAGAGCATTCATGACATACATGTCAAGGAAGTTACCCACAAAGTCTTGATCGTGTGCCGTCACAGGGAGGATCACCTGTACCCGTGTCGCTTCTGTTACATATGGCATAGGGATGATCTCGACAGCACTGAGCGGTTTCAGCAGACTCACCCGTTTGGCGATGACCTGACTGTGACCTTTCTGCGTAAAAGCTTCCAGGGCCAAATCCAGCACGTACTCCATGCCCCGTGTGGGATCGAAGCGCCGGTACCCATTCAGCAGACGCTGCTTACGGAAGCGCAACTGAGGCTGATAGCGCTCGTTTAAACGACCCACTGCCGTCTCCAGGACTGAATTGACATCTGCCCTGTCTGCACCTCGAAGCTCACACTTTGGAGAGCTGTCGGCACATGAATAAATGTGCTCTTCGGTGAAGTATTCCCAGTTGATCACCTCAAAGCGGGTTTTGGGTCGGAAAGGTGGGTTGATTCCGATGGGCCAGGTGGCTCCGGCTTTGCCCTCTGGAGTGAGCTCACTTATGTTGTTGATCTGGTTCTGTGGCCAAAACAACAGAACACGTCATTGTAAGGACCTGAATTAACTGTTAACCTGGTAAAGGGAACAAGTTCTCTTTTCTGTCATTGGTCCAACTTTATATTAGGTGGCCATATCTAGTTACATTTAAATTAATCATTTGATACAATGCACTTACTGTGTACATACATGTTTTTACATTGTACTTATATACATGTAATTATATCTGAAATTAATTTCTGTATTTACATGTATAATTACACTGTTGACCTATCCCTTACTCCTTAGCCCACCCTTAAACCT